TTTATTAAAATTTATCGTATCCCAATTTTTAAAAAAGCATATTAAAGGTTATAAAATTACCTTTCAAATACTATGTGTGCAATTAAAATGTGATGATTTATTAAAAATAATATATAAGGTCAGAGGTGGGATAAATGGGGACCAAATCGCTATTTTTCACAAATTATGTAAGTTTCTTCCTTTAAAAAGTAATATTTGCGGGTTTATTTTTTTTTTAGTTTTTATTGGCATTCGCAGGATTAACTTTATGAAGCAGAAAAAAATTTAGATAAGCTTTAAACGCATTTTAAAAAAAATAAACTCGCAAATATTACCTTTTAAAGGAAGAAATTTACGTAATTTGTGAAAAATTAGGATTTTGTCCCCATTTAGCCCAACTGACCCTAAATATAATAGTAATAATAGCAATTTTTAATAAACACGCCGTAATTGATGCATTTACCCTATGTCAATTGAATTTTGTCATGTGAAACTTACAACGATAATTTGTGTCAAACGAGATTTATGTCAATTGTATTTACATTTAAAAATTATATAGAATTATGACAAATGAATTTTATCACATGAGATTTATGCCAAAGAAGAATTATTTAAAATGAAATTTATGTCAAATGATATGTGTGACAAATATTTTATGTTCAATGAATTTTATGCCAAGTAATAAATTTTTAAATGTGACTTCATATAATATGTAAGAATTCTTATAAGATTTACGAATATTTTTTTTTTGATGCGTAAATTTTTCCAATAAATTAATTCAAAAATCAAAATTTTTCCTTAAACATATATAATAAATTCAAACAATAGTGATATGATAAATTAATTTTCAAAGTAAAAAGTATATAATAAGATATAGAAAATCAATCATGACACATATATCTGACGTAGACACAGTTTACATGAAAGAATATATTAAAAAAAGAAAAAAAAAGGAAAAAGAAATATTAACACTTATAGCGATACATTCTGCTTATCTGCGAGCTTCGTGAACGTATATCATTAATGTAATACTTGTACAATCCATATGTACATAGAAATATAGAGAGGTATATATGCATATATGCCTTTGTGCGAGTGTCTATAAACACGAGTGCGTATACTGCAAAGAAGGCTTGAACTTGAATTTAATAATCGTGCAGTTACGCGAATTTTAAATGATGATAATGCTTATACAAACATTCTGTTTGTTTATCGACGAATTAAGTTGAGTTATTGACTAATTATGTCCACAAGTTGTCTATATAAAGTTAATCAATCCTTAAGAAGATGTAAGTTAATAACTGTCTTATTAATTTCTTTTCATGTGTTGAAAATTTGCAATTTTATAGATTAACATATTTTATTTAAACTTTACACTGATGTTTTTTTTTATGCTACAAAATTGTCATTGTACTGTTTAATTTTAAAGTAATGACCATTTACTATTATTATATAATTTTATTATTAATAATTTTTATGACTTAAATATGTGGGACAATGTGGGGTAAAGTGATTGATGGAGTGAAAAGGAAGACAGTGTGGTGCAAACAAAATTATAGTACAAAAAGAAAAAATTAATTAAGCAAACTATAAAAAAATATATTTTTACCTCGCCGTAATTGGAACATTTTTCAGATTTCCATTGGCTTTAATTATTGTGGGCTAAGTATCTTTAAAATACACATAATTTTTTTAAACGTAATTGATACACCGAAACTGATATACAAACGCGCCGTAATTGAAAAATAACGGTATTAGTTTTAATTTCTCATATTTGTTTAAATAATCAATTTTTATAAAGTTAAATTTTTTTTAATATCTAAATAACATAAGCTTTTAGTTTAATATAAGTCTTAAATTTAATTTTTACATTAGAAATATAGAATTTTCTATTTCAAAGGAGTTTTGACTCGAATCGCGCAGTAATTAGTGCATTTACCCCATAAATGAAAAATCGCTTCTTTTAAAAAAAAAATGATCCCAGTCGATGTGGAATTGAAAACATTACAAAAATAAGTAAATAAAACAAAATTAAATAAAAAGAAGAATTTAGTGAAAAAAAAATTTTTTCAATTTTTTTAAATTTTAATGTAAACGAGACATTATAAGTACGTCGCAAATGCGCGTACACGTATATATATACATATTAGGCTCTTGTGTCCTATCCACGAGGCACGCTCGCAGTTTAGAACGAGGCGCGATTTGCGTTACCTAAGAATATGTATAGACGTGGTATATCGGCGCAGTTATACACACTTGGGTATATATATATATACGTATATACATGTGTATATACTATATGCATACATATGCACACACTTCAAGAGCAAATATCTGTTTGCGTGCATCTAAGCTCTCGTTGAAGCATCCGCGGCCTTCCGCGCCACCTGGTTGAATATAATTCTAGATTTTCTAAATATTTTTTTAACTCCCCGAGGGCTCAACAGCCGCAAATTATTGTTCAATTTTTTTTTTTTTTTTTTTTTCCCCTCAATTATTAACAGAAAATGCGTATCTCTAATAAAACCAAGTGATAAAAAAACATGTTTTTTTTCCAATTATATATAATCCAAAAAATAGAGGCAAAAAGAATTTAATTTCAATAAATAGATATATGAAAAATCAAAAATTGCACTCCCAAACTTCTACATTCTATTATTATTTTTTTTTTTTAAAAAGGAAAAAAAATGAGGATAAAATAAATTTTTAAGGGAGTCCAGAACATAAAAATCACCCTGTATTAGAGTTTTTAGGGTGTTTCAGAATTTGCAATATACACGGAAAAAAAACTTCACTTGAAACAGCGATATGTTTCACTAAAACAGGGAAAGTTTTCGCTATTCTAGAGAAAGATATATAGCTGTTTCAGGTAAAGATTTTTTTCCGTGTAAGATTTTATCAAAATATGTTATTTTTTTGTTTTTTTTTTTTATACAATATAGCGAACAAATTTTCAAAAATTCATCAGATTCGGTTAAAACTTATCAATCGAAGATTTTTGGCGTCACTGATTATGAATCTGTTCTAGTTTTTGAAAATTCAAAATGGCGGAACAAATATGGTAGACTTAATTTTTAATTTATCGAATTCGTTTCAAACTTGTTACTTAGGAATTTTCAGGGTCGCTGATTATGAATCTGAACTTAGTTTTTAAAAATTCAAAATGGCGAATTCAATATGGAGGACGAAAAAATCAATATTAAATTAGATTTTGTTATAAAACTGGTTTTTCTGGAGTTTTTGGGATCGCTGATTACAAATCTGATGTCATTTTCTTAATAAGCAATCGCAAAAATCGCTGAATAATAAGTTTTGATAATCGAAGATTTTTTATTTTATGTCCACCACATTAAATCTATTTCGAATTTTTTATAATTTGACTTCAAATTCGTAATCAGTAACCCATAAAGTTTTGAATAACAAGTTTCATATCAAATCGATAGAATTTTGATTTTTTCATCTGAATTTTTAAAAACTATAAGTTCAAATTCGTAATTAGCGTTTCTAAAAACTCCTGAGTAAGAATAGTTTTAAGTAATTAGAAGTAGAATTGGAATTTCGTTAGTCTAACCAGAATAAAATGTTAAATGTATCCTTACAATTTTTCTGATTAGAAGTATTAAAAAATTCTGGTTAAATTCCTAATCAATTTAACCAGAAATTATTGTTAAACACACCAGAATTTTCTGGTAAACCAAAAATTAACCAGATCTGTCTTGTATTATTAACTATTTATTCTTATTGAAACTAGAAATTTTTTTAGTGTGAAAATTAAACAGGGGTGCAATTATGTAATTTCATTTTGACTTCCACATCGACATTGACTTTCTTAATGATTTTCACTTTGACTTTGACTTTCACTTTTACTGAAATTCAATGAAAAATTAACTTCAGTAAAAGGGAAAGTAAAAATCAAAGTCAAAATAAGAGTGAAAGTAAAAACTCCATAGGGGATGCTATAAAATTCCCACCCTTTTGGAGTTGAAATGAAGGAAGTAATTACTTTACGAGATAATTTTATGTTTAGAGAGTTAGTTTTAAAAAATTAATTTAATTATTAACTCCCTTTTTGAGTTGAATTTAAACTCGAAAAATTTAACTCCCACAATTTTTTTTAAAGCACACTAAAAAAATTAGAGCGATAACAGCAACGGGAGTTGAGAGTTAAAAATCAACTCAAAAAGGGAGTTAATAATAATAAAACTAACTCCTTAAAACTAACTCCCTAAGCGTAAAATTAACTCCCTTCGCTTCAACTCCAAAAGGGTGTGACTTTTATAGCATCCCCTAGGGAGTTGAAATTCAACTATTATCAATACAAAAATAATAATAAATTACAAATCAATTAATCGAATAACAATAGCCGAATAAAAAAATAAAAATGGTTCCTATTTTTAATTAAGATTTCATTTTAAAAAAAAGTATATAATTAACTAAAACATACATCCTATGTAGTTTTAATAATAAAAAACAAAAGTGAAAAATAAAATTAAAAAAAAAAAAAAAACTCGCTTCTCTCATTGCTAAATTCGAATTCGTGACTCGAGGTCAGGTGGTACTCGGCCGCTCGAGAAATAATTATCTCTCGTGCTGCGTAAAACGCAGTGCGTGATGCGTCTCTCTCTCTCTCCTCTTTTCGCCCCCTTCGACTGATGATTCTTTTTTTTTCACTTCAATCCGCTATATACGAATCGCGAGAATCGAGATTCGCAAGAACACACGCACACTCTTTCTTTATTTGTATGAGTGTGCGCGTGAATTCTGTATGCCAAGTAGTTGAACGCGCGGGTGTGTGTTTCCCCGTCCTACGTAACCGTTGCGCGCGCGTGAGTGTTTTACACCTGACTACTACGTGAATCAAAATCACAACCAATAATAATTCGCAAAATTCATTGAAAAAACATTGAAATTCAATAAATTTCAATGTGATAATTCATGAAATGTTAAATTATGATTTTAGAAAAATTTATTTGTGATAGTTATGTGGGTGGAGGGAGAATTGATTTCCGTGGAGTTGAGTTTGATGATATGGTGTGCACGGTAGGTTAGTTGACTGCGGGACCGAGCGAGCGCTGAGCTGACAGTAGGCCGGCGACGTCACAGTGGGCCGGTTGAGCCTTCCTTCGTTCGATTCCGGCAGGCTCTCTCTATTCATTTTACATGTAGCAAGGTAAATATCAGTCGACAACACGCAAAGTGTCGTTCTTCTTTTCTTTTTTTTTTTTTTTTGCGTTTTGCCAACAGTGTCAGTGCGTGTCACATGTTTCTCGTGCTTCCCAACATCAGTGATTATTTATTCTCGATTTTCAAAATCGAGCTTTGTGAGTTCTCTTCGCACCAAAAAAAATTCTATATAAGTCCTACGTATACTTGAGGATAATAAGTTCCGGGTTTTTATACCCTTGCGCGTTATCATCATTCGAGCATCAAAAATATAAAAAAAGAAATTTTTTAAATTAGAAAAAAAATTTTTTTTTTTGGATTACCTGCCAGAATAAAAATATATAACTACGAACGAGTTTTAATTTTTGTGTATAAAAATTCGTTTAAAAAAAAAAAATGCACACGGGATTAAATATTTAAATTTTAACAAAAAATAGAGAAAAAAAATCTGTCAAACGAGGATGAATTTGGAATTGAGGAAAAAAGCAAACAGAACCAAAGGGGAATTAAAATTTTTTTTTCGATATTTGAGGAAAAATAAATTTTTTTAGAACGTACACACAAGTCATCTGTAACGCTTCTCAAGTTGGCTGTTAATTAACGCACACCTAATCATCTCGACACCTATATACCCATGTCGTCAAGAGCAATTGACTTCCGCATTTTTTTCTCAAAAAAAAAAAAAAAAAAAAAAAAAAAAAACTAGAAACAATTATTCTGGAAACTATTTTTTGGAAAAATTTCTTTCTTTTTTAAAAAAGAAACTTTTTTCACCGATGTCATGAATATTCAAAGGATATTTATCCAATTACCATCATAGTAAATCGAAGCTAAACATATTCTCTAATTAGAGAGAGAGGAGAGAGAAAAAAAGGCAATAGTGTGAAAAGATCAAAAGTGAAAATTAAAATCTACGAGAAAATAATTTCTAATTATAAATGTATAATCAAATAGTTAAAAGTTCGATAAAACTATTATTAATTTCGATATTAATAATATGAATGTTATTAATATTAATGCCATTAATATTAGTGTGAGAAAAAGATAATTAAGTGAATATAAAACAATTTATCGAAAAGTGAAAAATTATTAATGACAAAAGAAACGTGAGAAATTTTTAGTATCGCAATTTAAATATTTAAATAAAAATTAAAAATAACTAAAATAAAAAAAATCATTCAATAAAGATATATTTATTAGGTACAGTGATAAGTATGGTTAAAAAAATGGATATAATGATTAGTTGAAAAAAATAAATAATTAGCGAAATTTTAAATGTAAATTATAAAAAATAGTGTCAAAAAAAAGGAAACAAAAATTGAATTACTTAACTAAAAGATAAATAACTGTAAAAACTAAAACATACGGGAATTTGTAATTTAATATGTTAAAAAAACAATGTGCCAAGTATAGAAAAAAATTACATTAAATACTTATTTAAATCTTGTTAGAATTGTTAAAATAAACATTCATTTTAAAATACAGTTTTACATTATAAAATTCAAAAATATTACAATTTAAAAAAAATTTAACAAACAATAATAATTACAACTATTATAAAATAATTTAAACAAAATAAACGTAATTTCGAAAATCAAACACGTGTTCGCTCTTAAATTATTAATTACTACCTGTTATTGAAGTAATAAAAAATTAATAGAATAAAAAATTCAAAAAATCACAGATACCAAAAAAGTGAAAATAAACTTTTTAAAATTATAAAAAAGTTAACTGACATATATAAAGTTTACACATATAAACCATTTGAGAAAAGAAATTCAAATTGAAAAAAGGAAAATTATAAGAAATTTAATGAGAAATTTTCATTGAATAAATTAAAAAAAAAAAAAATAATGAAAAAATAATTAGAAAAAAAAGGAAAATTTTTGTGAAAAAAAATCAAGTCAAAATGTTTTTGAATGACTTGGGGATATATGAGGCTGTCGGGGAGAAAAGAGTGATTCTGTGCGAGGCCGACGTCGAAATAAAATATTTTTGAGAATGCGCCGTCGCCGCCAAAGCAACGGAGAGAGAAACGCGTCCGTCGTCCTACACCTTGACATGCAAAAATCTATGACGGACGTGATGTGTGAGCTTATAGCGAATGAATATATATGTATATAAATATATATATATATATATATATAAAGAAGTTTATAAAATGCAATTTTCGTGAAAATTTCTCGAAAAACAAAATTTCGCGCCCTCGTGTGTGCGACCTTGCACACGCTTCGAGTTTCTGGCACGCGCGCGAGTTATCATCGTGTATTTTGCCTCTGCGACAAACACGCGCTAATAGTGACGTACACGAATTGCCGGTGGTTTTTTTTTACTTCTCTCTTTCTCTCTCTCTCTCGCACTCTTTCTACTAAAATAAAACCTTCCAATAGTTCAACTCGAAAAAGTGACCGTTGTGCTATATGTCAATTGATACGCAAAGCAGGGATTCTCAATTCTTGTGAGAAATTTGTAAAAATATTATATTTTTTTTGTAAATTTTATTTTTTTTTATAAATTTTATAAATTTTTTGTAATTTTATTATTTTTTTAAAATTCTTACTCTCTAAATCTGAATTAGTAAAAATGTTTACTTATTTGAATTAGTGACTCACTTTTTGCTTCTAAATTAGTAAAATTTTACTAATTATTAGTAAATTTTACTAACAATTAGAAAAATTTAACTAATTCTAAAGCAAAAAGTGAGTTATTAATTTAAGTTAATAAACATTTTAACTAATTCAGATTTAGAGAGTATTATATTATATTTTATGCTTTTAATTAGAAGTCGATTTTAAAAATTAAATTATAAAAATTACTAAATATATTAATATATAATAAAAAAAAATTGTAATCTCTTTCCGATTCGTGAGAATTCGTTTTCTAATTTAAATTAGTAAAAATTTCTACTAATTTTTAGTCATTCTTCACTAAAACTTTAGTAAAAGAAATAATACTCAAATAGTATAATATTTTACTAAAAATTAGTGAAAATTTTGTACTAATTTGAATTATTAATTAAGGAAATTAATTTTACTTCTCACTAATTCAAATTTAGAGAGTATAGGTGATTTTTATGTTCCGGACTTCAAAAATTTTTCTTTTAATATTTTTTTTTTTAGTTTAAAAAACGAAAAAAAAGTGGAATTAAAAAAAATTTTAGGGGCTCCAGAACATAAAAATCACCCTGTATATTCATAAAATAATTATAATTTGCGAAATTTTTATCATTTTTTTGAAAGTTTGATTAGATTTGAACTTTGATCGCTTTTAAAATTCATTTTGTCAATCTTTTTTTTTCTTCTTTTTTTTGAAACAGATAAAATTTGATAATTTACGATGTAGATATTTAGTAATTACTATCTAAATTAATGATAATAATAATTTTTTGCAAAAATTTACCAAAAGAAATTTTTTTTTTTGAATTTTAATTTGTGAGATTTTCAATATATTGATAATCACTGCTTTTTGTCACAATAATGAAGAATAGAAAATTTTTTTCAAAGAAATAATAGAACTCGTGTAATTAGAGATTGTATAAATGAAAATTATTTGGAGGTTTTTTTTTTAATTCAATTCCGTATATATGGAAACATAGTTGTTTTTTTTTTTGGAAACAAGGGATCCTGCAGCGTGCGTGACACCCAAGTACTAATTCCCCAACGCTTAAATTGTATTAATCAAAACAAACAGCCAGACTAGGCAGCATGCCACTTTCAGCATCCCAAACGTGAAAAGCAATCCAGTATGTATAACGTTTCTCATTTTACATAAAAAAAAGCTATTATATTTCTATTTTCTCTGTAAAAAAAATTTTTAAATTATCAAAAATTTTCTCTAAATATAATTTATGAAAAAAAAATTTAAATAAAAAAAAAGTTTATGTAAAAAATTAAAATAAATTTTAATTTATATTTAAAATAATATATTTTTTTAGAACATTGATTACAGTAATTACAGACATTTTAATATATTAAATGTTATTTTTATAAAAGAATAATTAAAATTTCATTTAAAAGAAATAACAGTAATTGTTATATTTCAGATAATTTATACTAAATATGATGCATTAGTTGTTACTACTAACAATGTTCTTAAAAAATGTAGAGGTAAATTATAACTTAAAAATGTCAGTAACGCTATTATAGTTTCATATTAGAATTTCATTGCGTTCCATGAAATTTTAGTAACTTTTTTTTTAGTTATATCACATGTTTAAAGTTTATTCCATCTATGAAACGAACTTAGTTCGTTATATATATTCGTAATTATTTGTATTTAAAAATAGTACCTATATAGAATACCACTGTATAGGTACTTATTTAAAAAAATTTCTTAAAAAATTAAATTTAATTTAAATTTCTTTAAAAATATTTCTTAAAATAGAAAAATTTACTAAACTATAAAAGTTTCTCTTAACGAAATCAATAAATGAAAGTAGTTTAAAAATTACAAAACAAAAACAATCTGACGAAATAAATTAATTTTTTCAATTTTTCTTAGTATGTTTTGTCAGTTTAATTATAGAAATAAATTTTTTTTTTTAATAATCATCTTTTTTTTTGTAAAAGCGATAATAGAATACTGTACGTCTAATACAAAAGAAAATTAATTTTCACACCTCAAATTAAATATTATTTTTAGGCATTTACAAAATTACAAATTTTTTTTTTTTTTTTTGATCTTGAAAAAAACAAAAGATTATTCTCTTTGGATTAATAAAAAAAAAAAAAGAAAAAAAAAACTGATTTCACAATGAGCGGATGAAACTAAAGAAGTTTACGACATGATTTTACGCACGCATGTTACGGTAGTACGTGCTGGATAGAAACGGCAGATAAGTTGATACGAAAGCATTGTAAGTTGACTGGAGAACTGCGGTTCCACTCAGAATTCAAGCCAGTTCAAGATCCGATTGCAACTTCTCAACTTTAAACTTAAGTAGGACATTAAAATCTCATCTTCTACTCAAGACACTCTAAATTTACTTCCACTTTTATATAAAAAATTTATCCTTTACTTATTATCTCATTAATTTTGATTTTATCCAATAAAAAAATAATAAAATTAATTCACGAATTTTATAGAATTGATGCAAATCGCTGCCAAACACAGTATCGTCAATATTGGTTTATTGAATACTAATTTCTGTTTTTATATTCAGTTAGAAAATTATTAAACGAAATTAAATTTTCCAAAGTTAATTAAAGTGATTAAAAGTCGGTCAAACCATTTACGATTAACTTTTATATACCACGAGGTTGGACAATGAAACTTTTTCAAAGTAATGTATCAGATATTTTTTGTTTCTCTAACATAAATGGATTATTTAAATTTTAAATATTACTATTTATAATAATTAAAAAAATTTTTATTTTTTAAATTTCAAGAATTATTATTACAAATCGTGCACATTAGTTCGATTAAAAAAAGAGAAAATCGTATATATAAGTTATTAATTAAAGATCAAGATCAAAGAACCGGTTATAATTTTTTTTTTTAAACTAGAAATCATTGGCCCATATAAGTTCAAAATTATAAAATTTTGAATCTCATTTTTCTGTGAAATATTTTCATTATTTACAAAATTAAATACTTACAGAAAACTATAAAATTTAAAACATTTTTTTATTTCGGACCCAACGATTTATTTTTAAAAAATTGTAACCGGTTTTTTAATCTGAACCATCAGTTTGCTATTTTCATAGGTTAAAATTTTATACCCTCCTATAGCTGTAAAATTGCAAACGCTTTTTTTGTATATTTTTCACTCTATATAAAGGAAGTGACACGATGCCATTAAACAATCTCGTTTGTCGGATCAGTTTTCTAAGTGTTACTTTAGAGTGCGTAATACGACAATAAAAACGGTGATTGTTGCCGTTTTTATTTCTTCAGAAATCAATTAAATCTTCTTTCACTACTATTCTATTTTTTAAAATTCTATGTTTTTCATTCACATTATGTATAAAGTCGATAGTTAAATATCTATAATTTAAAAAAAAAGTTAGACTTTCGCAAAATTTAAATATTTCCATATATATTTTTACTTTTTTTTTGTACCAAAGAAAAAAAAGAATACAGCCGTAAAAATAATCAAGCTTCCCAAAATTTGGAAAATTGGTCGGATTTTATATTTTCGAATATTTATGTAAAAGGATTAACAATTTAAAAATGTTTCAGTAAACAATTTAATTTTTAACATTTTTTGAATAATAAATAAAAATTTGTATTTGAATAAAAATGAAATTTTAAAATTTGAAAGTATTAAAAATAAAATTGCCAAAACTTTTACAGAAACGAATTTTTATTAAAAATTTCTTTTTTTTTATTAAAAATAAGTTGGACTAACTTTTATTCGTTAATTTTTTTTATTAAATTAATAAATCTATAATTAATGTTTTATTTTTCTTATTATTCATTAATTTATTAATAAAAAAAAATATTGAATAAAAAAAGTAGTAGTCGCAGCAGTAATAGAAAGTAGTTTTATTATATTATCCTATAAATTAATTTTACTGGTTGTAAAATAATTTTTTATCAGACATAAAAGAAAGCACGCGCCTTTAAAAAAAAGTGTTTTCTAACGAGTTAGTTGTTTTAAATTATAATTATTTCCAAATCTATTTTCTTAAAAACAGAACACATTTTATAAACGCTTTAAGGACACTAGTCCAGTTGGATTTAACTAATTAACATAAAAAATGAATATTTAAATAATAATTTCATATTCTATGCCTCAGTAAAAGAAGAAGTTAATAAATATTCCAATAACTGTCAACAATGAATTAAATAGAATAAAAATAAAAACTCTTAAGAGAAAATCAATAAGTATTAGATAAAATCTAATCACCGAATTGATAAAATTTCTATCAATTGATCGAATTCAGTATTTTAAAAATATATCTCAAGTATATATGACAAATATTTTATTAAATGTCTAATGTAAAAAAAAATGCAAATTATAGATAATATCTTAAGAGTATCTCTTTGGAAGGGGGAGGTGTAAAAAATGGTATTCTATCTTTACTGTAAAAATAATAATCATAAAATAATAATAGAGATGAAAAAGTAAAACATTCGGACAAATAATTTTAATTTATCCGAATATTTTTGTTTATTTTCGCCTCTCTCTAATAATATTTTTCAGTTGTTAAAATATTAAATAAAATAAAAAAAATATTTAATTAAATAAAATAAATAATTTTTTAATTAAATAATTAATTAAATTACTTAAAAATTGAATATTATTTGAAAAACAAAAATGGAAAAATTTTTCAAAGCTGTTTCTAAAATGTGCATTGTTAAAATAAGAAAAATAACTAACTTTGCGAAGGTCGAGTAATTTTTACCGGCAAATTTACGCACACAGTGCACCGTGTAATTTTCAGCCTCACGCGAAAACGCGCATCAATGCACGTGCGGCTTTCCGCTTTGTGTATTTCACTATATGTATATATATATTTCGAATCAAATATCAAAACAGATTTGGAGCCACTAGAATTTTTCTCTTCAGTTGGCAATCATTCGTCCAACCATGTAAAAAAAATTTTACGCGAAACCTGTAATTGACATTGAATTCTTCGGAAATTTTACTTTTTTTTATTTCTTTTAGTATATATATATATATATATATATATATAGAGAGAGAGAGAGAAAATTTTCTTTAAAGTTATAAGGGCACTCAGAAAAGTTCCAATCTCTCTTAAAAGATCATTTAACTTTTAATCACCGGATACTATTTTAAACTCAAATGATGTATAAAAATCAAATGTCTGACAAATTAAAATATTTATTTTACAAAAAAAAAAATTTATTTGATTTTAACAATCGGTTACTTGGCTATTATCAAATAAATGTTTATTTGAATCAAATAAACTGTATTTAAAATAAATATCTTTTAATTGACTAAAATAATTATTATTTCATACAAATAAATATTTATTTGGTAATAGCCAAGTAACCGATTATTTCAATCAAATAAATTTTTTATCAGTATACTGAATTCTTTTTCTTAATCGGAATTTTTTTTATTACTATAATAATTCAAGTTTGCTAAAATTTAACATATAATTTATATTTTCTTAATATAAATAAATAAGACTGTTTTTTATTTTTGTCATTTTCATATCAATTTATATTAATTTAAATTTTAGTATGTTTACGGAAAATAACTTCTTTAGTTTTTCTATTTTATCATTTAGAAATATAAAAATTATGTTATTAACATATAAATATAAATGAATAAATTAAAGAAGTTCATGAAAACTACAATATGATTTGATAATAATTTTAAAAAAACACACACACACAATTACGTATGTCCGACAGGTTTTTAATAACTTTGGGTAATTTTTTCGTATTTTTTCTATCGACACCCGCACAGAAAATTTAAGTCTACAAAAATATAATAAATTCAATTACGAAATTTAACCAAAAAGAAAAGTTGAAATCAAATGTTTATAATTTTGAAATAAATGTAAAATAATAAAAAATGTAGTCAAATTGAAAATGATAATGTTTAATTATATATATAATATATAAATTATAAGGGATTACCAGAAATTCGGGGGAAAAAAAGAGAAAGATAAAAAGTTCCTTTTCTTTGAAAAAAATGAAAGATAAGCAGACAATAATGAGTTGAAATTGCACGAAGTTTAAATATCTGAATCTGAATCTACGTTCCAAATACACGACTGTGGTGTGAGAAGGTAGCCAATTAGAATCATGTATGCAGGATTTAGT